TACATACCCTTGACCTGAATCGAACCCAGGACCCTCCAGTCTGCAGGCTGATACTCTATCCACTGAGCCAAACCGGTTTCAGCAAGGCTGCTCTCTTAATAACTTTTGAACCTGCCCTACATTATCCCCCTAGTCTTCTTCTTATTCTTTTTGTTTTGTTTTGTTTTGTTAATCCCCCCCGAAGATATCCACCCCTGTTTTTAGATAAGGTGGGAAGGAGTGGGGGAGAAACATTGACGTAAGAGACACACGTTGAATGGTTGCCTCCCGCACTCGCCCTTGTTGGGGGATCAGGGACTGAGCCTTCATCAGAATTGAACCTGGGACCCTTCAGTCCTTGGGCCAATGCTCTATCCACTGGTTAGGACTAGCCTCCTAGTCTGGGTGTACAGATGTGAGGCCTGTCATGAACCAGATCACTTAGTGACAATCAAGATCAGTAATAATAACAACAACAACATGATCAGTGCTGTAGAGGCAGTATTAACACAGCACTGAGTGGGAAACTGAAGCCAGTCTGTGACAATGGGCTGGGAGAGGGGTGATGGGCCATCCACATGAATAGGGCATTTATTTATTTTTAAAATATTTATTTATTATATTTTATTGATTTTTTACAGAGAGGAAGGGAGAGGGAGAGTTAGAAACATCGATGAGAGAGAAACATCCATCAGCTGCCTCCTGCACACCCCCACCTGGGGATGTGCCCGCTACTTAGGTACATGCCCTTGACCAGAATTGAACCTGGGACCTTTCAGTCCGCAGGCCGATGATCTATCGACTGGGCAACACCAGTTTTGGCGAATAGGGCATTTAATCAAAATGATGATCACGCTGTAATATGATATTCTGTTTTGAAACTAATCAGTGATTACATACAACAGTGGCTCTCAAACATTAGCATGTGTCAGAATCTCTCAGAGGGCTTGTTCAAGAACCATTAATTCAGTAGGTGTGGGGTGGGGCCGGAATATCCGCTTTCTGACAAGTTCCTTGGCAATGCAGATCCCGATGGTGTGGAATATCCCTTGAGGACCACTGATCTAAACGTCTGAATTAAGAGTTGTGCTAGATGGTGTTGCTAGGAACACAATTTAAAGCAAATAGAATCTAGCTGTTCCACTCTCTCACACACACAAATTAGTTTTCTTAAAACTACACTTTGATGGCTTAGTAACTGTTATACATTTTTCATATAACAATTTTTATTGTAAAATGTTTACTAAGATTTAATATTTACCGTAGATATTTGACAGTCAGACAACAGTTCTTTTGTGTGTGGCAAAAGGCATGCTTGCCATGTGCTTGCCAAAATTCTTTCCTTCTCTTCCTGGGAAGCACTCCTAAAACCACATTTCCTGACCCCTCTGCAGTTAGCTTAGACCAGTGGTCGGCAAACCGCAGCTCGCGAGCCACATGCTGCTCTTTGGCCCCTTGAGTGTGGCTCTTCCACAAAATACCACGTGTGGGCACGTGTACAGCGTGATTGAAGGAGTACCCTAATTAAGTAAATAACAATGTACCTACCTATATAGTTTAAGTTTAAAAAATCAGCTCTCAAAAGAAATTTCAATCGTTGTACTGTTGATATTTAGCTCTGTAGACTGATGAGTTTGCTGACCACTGGGTTAGACCATGTGAGTGGATTGTGAGAAGGAGGTTTGGCCTTTTTCCTTTAGCCAGCCAGGTGCGCAGGATCTAGTGAAGGACCAGAATTCCAGGGGCCTACTTAGGCAACTGGTAAGAGCATTTGTTCCTGAGTCACCACTTGCAGAAGAGACACTCAGGATTGCCCTGCAAGTAGGGGCACCTTTTAGACAGAGATGAGAGGGTGTACTAACGGACCTTGCCTTGTGCTTCTGTGGCATCACAGCCCTGAGGTTTAGGGGTTTGCCCCCTGTGTAGCTTAGTGTACCCTGATATTGTGCTGTGCCTCGCACTAACACAGAACACACTGAGTGAATGACCACTACAAATCCAATTTCTATCCCTTACATCCAACATTCAGCCTGTAAGTGGTCTTCTCACCACTCATTTACTCAACCAATACTTACCTGCAGGCTACTGTGTGCCAAGCACCGGTGATTGAAAAAACACACTCTTTCCACGCCGCCATGAAATTTACAGTCTTGTTAGGCATGGGAATAAATTAAAGAAATGTAACATTTCAATTGTTGTGAGTGGTGTGAATGCAGGACACCTGGCACTATAAAGGTTTTTTGTTCCTAGTTAGGAATAAATGTAGAGCACATGTAAGGTGTAATTACCATCTGGGGAAAAGTGACAAAACCAGCCAAGTTTGGACGTGATACAGCATAACATAAATCTGAATATAGCTAAGAGTCATCAGGTTTTATTGTTATCTTTCCATTTATTAGTTTTAACTGATGAATGGGGTGTGCTTCATAAATGTATGTGTGAAGATGACTGTGAAACTCTCACTTACCAGCTGTTAGCTCCCTGAGGACTTGCAAAAGTCCTTTACTCCTTTTTGAAAATCGGTGTTTATAATTTTTTCTAGTAGCAGTAGGTTCTTAGGATATTGGAAACAATTTACTGCTGGGCCAGAGTTTTACAATGAAGGCCTCATTTAGTAAAAGGTAAACCAAATCAAATCACTAAATACCTTCTTGAATAGCAGCTTGTCATGTTGCTAACCACTTTGGCCTTTTTAACATTTCTCTGCTTAACAAGTAAATGTTGGTTTCAGTAAGCTCATAAACAGGATGTATATGTGTGTGTGTATATACATGTACATACATATATGAATATAAATATGTACTTAGAGATATATATTTCACTGGTATCTGATATATTTACACACATATACACAATGTATTTATGGGGTGGGCAAAAGTATAGTTGTAAGGACATTAAGTTTATTCTTGTATTCTTATTTATTAATTGTATTATTTTCATGCGAACAATTGTAAACCTACTTTTGCCCACCCCTATATATCTATCTGTATATATATTCTTCTCTTGTTTAAAAACTTGATTCTCATACTTCAAAGTGATGAAAATCATTACATAAATGACCTTACAGGCATGGAAACTTTTTAAAAATTTATTTCTGTAGTTTGTACAAAAAAAAACAGTTGCTATTATTTTCGCATAGAGAACACTTTAGGCATTTTCAAAAGGGGAGGGTTAGAGCAGGCTGGTCACTAGACATGTAGCCATGTTCTACTACCAAGATACTAGGTCACAGGTAATTTTAATAAGTTTCATTCTAGCCCAGTGGGCGTGGCTCAGTGGTTGAGCATGGATCTACGAACCAGGAGGTCACAGTTCCATTCCCAGTCAGGGCACATGCCTGGGATGTGCTGGCTGGATCCTCAGTCCAGGGCATGCAGGAGGCAGCTGATCAATGATTCTCTCTCATCATTGGTGTTTCTCTCTCCCCTTCTCCCTTCTTCTCTGAAATAAATATATTTAAAAAATTCCTTTTTAGAGGAATTATCGGATTTCTAAGCTGCGAGCGCCCTAGGGATTTATATTTAAATACCCCAGAAAGGAAACTAAAGTAAAAAAAAAGGCAAAATAACTTGCTCAATATAGTAACTTAATTTGGTCCCAGACCTAGACCCAAGGTCTCCTAAATCGGGTGCAGCTTTCTCTACACCAGGGTTCTTGTCCTGCAACTGAAGGTCAAGCTGGATTATCCTTAGTTCCTCCAACAATGCGCTTCTTCCCTCCCAGGTCCGAGTGTTTGATCGGACAGGGCTGATTCAGATTAAGTTGCCTTCTGCCTCCCTGTTTCTTTTGTTCCCACTGTTCTTAGTTTTTACCATCAGCACTGCCGATCTTCTGTCTCAAATAAAAGACACACTCACTTAATAACACCCACAAGGAACGTAACACCCACACAAACTGATTGGCTCGGCGGAGGGGACAGGCTCCTGCCATTTCCAGCCGGGAAAAGGTGAAGGGGACACACTCTGCATCGCGTGGCCACGTGCGGGAGGAGGGGCCGCCTTTTGGTTGGTGCCCGGAGGGGCTGAATCCCACCAATCGGCGTGGGCCCCGCGGTGGAGGAGGGGGCGCGTTCCGGGGGGCGGGGGGAGGGCGGGGCTCGGGACCTGTCCATCACCGGACCCTCGGGGAGGCAGCACCTACCACACCGCGGTACCTTATGGGGGCGGGACCGGGGCGCGGAGGCCTCGGCTGGAGAAGGCGGGGCCAGGGCGGCTGGAGCCAATCCTCGGCGCGGCGCGGCACGAGGGGGCGGGGCCACCGCGTGCGACCCAAACACAGGGGCCCCGGCTCACCCAGGACCCGCGAGGCTCCCCGGCCTTCCGGCTCCAGGCTCGGCCGCCTCCTCCCCTCCCGGACGCCCCTCGTGGGCCACACCGCCCCCCGCCCCTCCTTCCCCGGGGTTGTGCGGCGCGGCGGCGGCGGCGGCCGTTGCCGGGAAGCGCGCGCCGCTGTTCTTGACTCCTCGCCATCCCTCCCCTCACGCGCCGCCCGTTTTTCCTCGTTCTCCGTTAATAACAGCTGGGCGGCTGGGGGAGGAGGAAGGTGGCCCCGGCGGAGTGTGGGCGGGCGCCTCCCACTCAGCCGCGAGCCGCCGTGCGAGCCGGAGGATGGCGGCGGCGGTAGCGGGGGCCGCCCGGGAGGAGGCGGTGCCGAGGCCCGCGGCGCAGAGCACGGCGGCGGCAGAGAGCGGCAGCAGCCCGGCGCGGCGCGGCAGAACCGAAACCAGCGGCAGCCGGACCGCCACCTGAGCCGCCCTTCCCGCCCCCGGAGCGAGGAGCGAGCGAGCCAGCCCGGACCGTCTCCCTTCCCGCCTCTCCGCGCCTCCCGCGCCCGCCGTCCCCGCCAGAAGGAGAGCGCGCCGGCCGCCGGCCGCCCCTCGGGGCGCCGGGCAGAGGCCCTGGACGTGCGGGCTCCCCGGCGGGCCGGCCGCGGCGCCCCGGCCCTGCCCTCCCGCTCCCGCGCTCGCCCCCGCCCTCCCGGCGCTCCGGGCGCTGCGCGCGGGCCCGGCCCGGGGCAGGGCGGCCATGGGCGCCAAGCAGAGCGGCCCGGCCGCCGCTAACGGCCGCACCCGCGCGTACTCGGGCTCCGACGTACCTTCCGGCAGCGGCGGCGGCGGCGGCGCCAATGGGACCGCGGGCGGCGGCGGGGCGCGGGCCGCGGCCGCCGGGAGGCTCCCGGCTCCGGGGCCGGGCGCGCACCAGCCCGGCGCCTCGGGCGGCGCCGCGGCGGCCCCGGCGGCCTCGCGCAGCCGCTCTCTCGGCGGGGCCGGGGGCGCCGGGGCGCCGGGGGCCCGCGCCGCGCAGTCCTCCCTCAGCATCCCCCACAGCAGCGGCGGCCAGTACGGCTCGCAGGACTCGGTGCACAGCAGCCCGGAGGACGGCGGCGGCGGCGGCAGGGACCGGCCGGCGGGCGGGGGCCCCGGCGGGCCGCGCCTGGTCATCGGCTCACTCCCGGCTCACCTCTCGCCGCACTTGTTTGGAGGTACGGCCCCCCCTTTCTCCCCCTCCGTCCTCCCTCCCTGCCCCCCTCCCCGGCTCCCGCGGCGGCACGTGTGTTTGCCTTCTCCTTTTCTCCTTCAGCCCGGGCGCCGCGGGCCGGGCCAGCCTCCCGGCAGGAAGGTCGCCCCTTAACCCTCGGGACGCCCGCCGCCCGGCCAGACCCCGGCGTGTTTGCTTTTCTTAACCACGGGGGACCCTTACCTCCCCGCGGCTCCCCTGCCCGGGGAGCCCTCGCTTCCCCAACCCGCCTCACCCCCCGGAAGGTGAAAGGAGCAAATGGTGTTTTATAACCGCCCGGACGCAGCAGCAGTCCTGGTGCCTGTGGGTTTTGGTATCAGGAAGTCAGAAGACCCGTTGCAAAATGTAGTTTCTATCTTGGGACTCGAGTGGCGAGCGGCGTTGAAAGGCCAGAAGTCAGAGGGTCTCACCTAAACTCGAGTATTTGGAAGCGGAGGGAACGATCTCCTTTGGGTGGTGGTTAATCTGAAACGAATGCTTAAGTTTGCAAACAGTCCCACCTACTGTGCACACTCGGATGGGATGGACGTATTCATGGGAAGTGTGTGTGTTAGCCCCCGTAAACTTCTGCTTTATATGCTGGTCCGCGGGAGTCCTGCTCCATTGGGACAGCATCTGAGACACTGAAAACGGTTTAAGGGGAGGGACTGGTAATTGTCACAGCTCTGCCCACAAGGTGCAGAGGGAAGCCTAGGCGCAGAGCAGTGTTGACTTGAGTTCAGGAAAAGTCACTTGTGAGAAATGGAAATTTTTAGTAGCAAAGTGATGTGTTTTTATGCAGGAACGGCAGGAAGGGGGCACTTGGTTTGAGGAAAATGAGTTGGAATTGTTCAGTTATGTTTTAGGGTGATCCTCGCTACCTCGGAACAGTTACAGGAAATGAATCAAGACACCCCTCTCTTCCCAGTTCAGGGGGGAGGGGGAAAGGGGTTAAGTCTGGTTAGAGATGCCGTAGGAGGTAAACATTCCCATCTCATTGCATTATGTATCTTGATATAACATCCACAACTGAGCACAGATAAACTGCACACACCATCCCCTCCATTTCTGTGCCTTTTTTATTCATGTTTATAAACGTGAGAAATTTGAGTAGACAGTTGGTAAAGTGGGATGTCCAATAATGTAATTTAGCTCTCTGTGCTGATGTTCTGTGCTGTCAGCCTTCACGTTGGCATAAATTAAAGATGGGAATGTCATGTTTAGTTTTTTTCCATCTTTTCAGTACTGCTTTGCACAGTCAGTATAAAACAACTCTTTACCTTATTTCAATAACTTGTTATAAAGTCATTTTGCTATGTAAATAAAAGTTCTTAATGCTTCCTAAAATTGGGCCAGTTTAAAAAATTTGTTTTTTTTTTTTAAAGAACTAGTGTTTTCCTTCTTTTGATTTGAGTATAATAAATTAATAAATGCAGTTGAAGGTACTGTAATCACCACATGGAGGAATAAGAAAAGCCAGTTTCTTGAGAATGGGAGATTAGTACAACAATAAAAGATAGCTGGTTTTAAAAATATTTCTTTATTAAATGAAAACTTGTATTTAGCAGTTAGGATGATCAAAAGATGTATGTTTAAAGCTTGCTAAAGAAGGGGAAGAAGGAAAAGGCTTGTCAAATTAATAGTTCTTATTTCTTTAGTATACTGATTACTGTCTTTTTTTTTTTTTTTTAAAGGTCTAATATCCTTTAACAAAGTATATCTATGGGTTTATTTTCTTAAAGTAAATGCATTCCAGTCAGAGCAGAGGACAAATAGTTGGCACCCATGCTATTAAGTCATAGTAAATTAGCAAATGAAAAAGACCTAGTTCCTGAAAGTTAGAGAGGTAAAGCACTCATCTATTTTCTTATCTAAGTCCCTAGATTTTTATGTTTAGCTTTTTTTTAGTACTTTTGTGTTTAGGGTAATTGGGCCTAGCAGCAAAACAGTGAGGAACGTGTGGCAGTCTTTCTTAATTAGGTCTTTGTAGAGAATCAGCACTAATGACCTAAGGCATCTATTGTATGCAATTAACTTTTTCTTCTATGCATTTAGGAGGATTCTTGAAAAACTTGCTAAGTGCTTGTACCTTAAGTCCTACTTGAGACCAGAAGATAGAATACACCAAATCTTTCCAGTGACATTTGCTTCAGTGAGATTTTTACCTCTATTTCAGTGGATGAGTTTGTCAGGGAAACTCTATAGAACCATATTTCTCATTATCCTGAGGTTTAGGGAGCCAGATGATAATTCTTATTTAGAAATTAGACTTGACTATATTTCACATTGATTTAATTTTTAGTATGTATTATAGAATTAATGTTTATTCGGTTACAAAGTGTACAAATGTGCATATATAAAGTAACTCCATCTGAGTAATGAATAAAGGAATATTTCTGAATTAGTGGAAATTTATTACTGTAATTCTATAAAACTTATTTTCACTGATGTTTGCATTAATATCTCCTAATAAGGAGAATTGATACTAATAAGATTCAGAATTATTCTCTTATGGGCTGTCAGATAATTTATAGAAAAGAAAAACCTAAACCAGTACTATTATATGTTTGTTTTTTAAAATTTGTTAGTTTTAGCAAGGTAAATTGTTTCGATTCCATCATAATGAATTACCAAATTAAATGAGGTGTTCTGTGTTGGTTTGTTTTGCTCTCTCTTGGACATGTATTTTGGTGATGTACACTTCTGTAATTCTCTCTGTTTAGAGAGAGAGAGGTGCTTAATAGAGATGTCTTAGTTTACAGACATTTCCTAGAACTGAGTTGTTGGATAAAACATCAGAATGTTATTATAATACAAACAGGAGTGTTTTTTGTTTTTGTTGAATATATTTGTATTGATTTCAGAGAGGAAGGGAGAGAGGGATAGAAATATCGATGACAGAGAATTATTGATCAGCGATCCCCCTGCAATCCCCCTAGTGGGGATGGAGCCTGAAATCTGGGCATGTGCCCTGACTGGGAATCGAACCAGACCCTCCTGGTTCATGGGCCAATGCTCAACCACTGAGCCACATCGGCTGGACCATACAGGAGTTTTTAGGTGAGGTATGTTTTTCTTGTGTTTATGTTGTTGTTTTTTGTTGTTGTTGTTAGTTTCAAACTGCTGAGTATAATAGTATTAAAGTGAACAAAAGCCTTCTCTTGTCTATCACTTTTGTTTACAACAGGTCTTAAGGTAATAGTCTACTATTTAAAAATCACAGAATTTTTTTGCTTTATTTTATGTCTACATTTTTTTCTGCTGTCAAGTTGCTAGTGTTCATCAAGGTAATTATTATGGGTGGTAATATCCAGTCTTTAAGATCCAGTAAGGATGAGGGAGCTAAATTGCACTATAAAAATATACCAGTGAACAGAGATTATTTCTAAAGAAATCATGTGGGTTTCTAATATTCATGAGTCTGAGAGTGAAAATGTAAAATGAATTAATCTAGACTATTAACCGGTGGGACTGGATTGCTTTTGACTTCTTCCTGATTGGCTTGAGTTTGTTTGGGTGTGGTGTGCTCCTGAGTATTTCAGTAGGCTGATTGTAATTCAGGTGCCACCTGTTATCTAAGAAACAAGCTTCTTTATATGGAAGGAATGTGGATTATCTCAAAACTGAATATGTCAAATAAAATCTGTATTTTTAGGCAGATTTATTTATCTTAATCTTCAAGACAGATGTGGGTTTATTGTGATTAATCTACTTCCTATTCTTGAATGTTCTTTTATTCAATTGAAGACTTTTAAGGGTGTGATAGAAGAAAATGACACTTTTAATGATAACTCATCACTCCCCCAAAACAACTCTGATAATTTGTGTTTTTCACTTGTAATTCCACATAGTTTAAACTCTAGGCGATACTGTGTGTTTTATGCCTTCTTTAAATGCTAAAGTGTGGAAGCTAAGTTTCGGCTTTGGGAATGTTTTGACAGTGCAAGGTGGATGGTGGGCTGCTGGGAGGCGTGTTTGTGTTGCACTGGACATCATCTGATAGGAGCTGCCTGGCCTAAGTACGGTTGATGCTCTGCTGGCTGCGAAGCCACTAAGAGCTCTGCTGTTTCACCTATAGATAGTGTCTCCAGCAAGTCCCCTTGCCCCCTTCAATATGATTGTTTTGCCTGGTAACTAGTAAATAGGTTCTTATTTCCTGGTTACCAATAACATTAATTAGATACCAGCTTGTGTCTTTAAGGAGAATTGCCTTAATGTTATATTTGTTTTATATACTGGGTATAAATACAAATGGTTATATTTAGTAAATAGGTTAAAAGAGAAGTATAGAAACTGCTTTATGTAGCAAAGTACTTTCTAAATGTTTTAATTTTCCATGTACTTGACTGGCATCAACTAATGAGTTAAGTTTGTTTTATACTTAACAGTTTAGAAATTGGGGAAAACATGCCCATTGTATGAATAAAAGGCTCAAAAATACCTTGTGTTAGTTTGTGTGATACTTAATAAATTACTACAAGTTTAGCTGCCTAAAACAGCATATATTTATCTCATAGCTTCTTTGAGTTAGGAGTCTGGGTGCAGCTTAACGTAGATTCTCTGCAAGAATGTAATTAAGGTGTTGGCCAGAACTTGGATTGTTATCTAGAGACTCAATGGGGATTGGGTCTGCTTCCAAGCTCCCTCTCTCCCTCAGGTTGTTGGTAGAACTCGTTTCTTCATAGTTTTAAAGCTCGGGACAGCTTGCTTCTTCAAACACAGCGAGGGAGAGCACCTAGCAGGGTGAGCTGGTGCTGCACTCTTTTCTTATGTGAATACTAGAGTACTGCTGGGGTCCTTCGGCCTAGCCTGTGGGGATTGGGCTGGAGCTGGCTCTCCAACATCCTCTGAGGGGTCTCAGATTGTGAGAGGGCACAGTCTATGCCGAGGGACCCACCTAGTGCATAATTGGGATGAGGGAGGGATTGTGGGAGGGCTCCAGGTGTGTCTAGCCCATCTAGCCTAGTCCCGATTGACTGGCCAGAC